GTATATCATTTGAAAGAGTTACAATTCAATTCTATTCAGAATAAATTAGTTCTATCAGTGTCTGAAGGCATATAATAATTAAAAAAATAATAAATAGTAAATATATTTGTATATACACTCAAAATCAAAATATCACATATAGAGGAGAAAAGGGAAAGAAATTTTAGCACCAATTATAATGGGGGGTGACCGGTAATAGTGATGGTGGTGGGAGACAGTGATGGTTATGGTCGGTAGCGATGACCGTGGTGGTGGTGATAGCTATGAGTGACAATGGTGATGGTACTAGTGGGGTGACAATGATGGTAGTGATAGTTCTAGGTGACTGCGGTGGTGGTGGTTGACGACAGTGACGGTGGTTGGCAGTGGTGGTGGTGGCAATGGTGGGTGGTGACGATGTTGGTGATGGGTGATGATAGGTGCTTTTAGGTGACAATATAATGGATAGTGGCGAATGATGATGATGGTGGTAGTGGCTGGCAGCAAGAGTGGGCGACGACGGATGGTGGTGGGTTGTGGTAGTGGGTGGCATTGGGTGGTGGTGGATAACAATGGTGGTGGTTGGTGTTGACGACGGACAACAGTGATAGTGGAAATAAATAAAAGAATAGATGTCGATGGTGGTGGGTGGTGATGGTGAACGACGGTTATAACAATCGGTGGTGGGTGGTGATGGTGGGGGGGCAACGGTGGTAGTGGTGATGACAGTGGTGGTGGTGGTGGTAGCGGATAGTGGTGGGACAGTGGTGGTGGTGGTAGGGTGACGGTAACAATAGTGGTGGTGATGGTAATAAAGATTATGGTGATAGAGCGGTGGAGGTAGTGGTGGTGATAGGATGACGACAGTGGTTGTGTTAGGGCGGTAGTGGTGGTTTTGTGGCAGATGTGGTGGTGGGGTAACGATGGTGATGGTGGTAGGGCGGTGGGTGGTGGTTGTGGTAAAAAATTGAATTCCATAATTAATTGCCTACAAAATCGTCCATGAATAATGGAAAAATAGTATTTATGTAAAGGAAATATTTAAAAAACAGATAATGTGTATCTATTAACAAAACATTCAAAAAAAAAAAAAAAAGGATTTATATGCAGTAGAGTTTTCGCATGGTACTTCCCCATAAATAAATAATGTATAATGTATCTCTTCACAATTTTTCCTTATATATTAAAATTTAAGTTTTTTGGTGGCCAGTATATGAAGCTGGACTTTTTAGCCAATAAGGACAACCAGTGAACTTATGGGACACTAAAGACAATTTACAGTAAAAAGATGTACAAACCTTTTGTATATACGAATTTCACATAAAATCTAAATTTCAGAAGGGAGAGAAGAGAGAATGAGTGAGATGAAAGAGAGAGTAGAGAGAATGGGTGAGATGAAAGAGAGAGGAGAGAAATAATGGGACAAAAGAGATAGACAAGATAGAGAGAATAATGCACATTTTAAAATTCAAATAAAATCAAATCTCCTTCATTTAAAATTTTTTATAATTAGAACCCTCTCTCTCTCTATATATATACACACACATTCTTTCTCTTTATATAAATAGAAGCCTAGGAGAGATTGCAAAGAAAGAAAAGAGGAGAAACAAGCAAGATCTTGAAGGATTAACACGTGTTAATGATACTAAAACACGTTAAGATCTACTATTCACGAATTAAGGTAGAATTTGTTTTTTTAAATCTTTTCATTGAAAATTATTTTTATGTATATGTATCTTTTGATTTCTATTCATAATTATATGATAGATAAACAACGGTTTTGATTTCTATTAAATTATTTATATCATTTTTAAATAAACACATTATTTATATTTAAAATTACATGTTCTTGAAGAAAAATCCTAGATCTCGATTATGGTCAATTTTGAATATGTTTTTTTACGATCTCTTGAATGTTAAGAAATCCCAATTATTCAAAGGATGTTTGAAACGTAGATGAACTTTCGTGTCAGACACGACAAAGAACAAAACATTAACAAACTTAAGAAGTTCAACTGCTATTTGATTTCCAATGACTAGACGAAGTTAAACTTGGGGCCCAACTGCGCCTTGGGCAAAGATGTGTGCCTTCCCATTATAAATTGTGAGGCTAACAAAAAGCTCACCTTTCGGTCATCTAATAAAATAAAAAATGCAACATGAAATTTTTTTTATTATTTTTTTTAAAAGACTTGACAAGTTTAGTCAATGGTTATGTTTTTATTGTAAAACGAGTAGACATCATTATGCGTTAGTTGGAGATAGGGACGGATCTATAGTCGACTGAAGCCTAGAGTAAAAAAAAAAAAATTATCACTTTCATGTAAGATTACCAACATCAACCTACTAAATCACTAATTATTAGTCCAATTTCCCAAAACTCTTAAGGCTTAAGCCCAATAAACATGGATTAAGATTAAAGTTAGTGACAAAAAGAGATGAGTTTGAAGACGTGTACGATACATTGCATATAGAGATTAGGTTTGTTAACAAGTCACAATTATTCAACGATGTATGAAACGTAAATGAACTTTCATGCTACAAGCGTCAAACAACAATTTCATTTCCATGGTGGACCCTAGTTGTCATTTTTTCAATCAATAATACTATGCTAACCAAAATTAAAGACTAAATAAAAAGTTTAAATGATATGACAATCTAATCAGTCTTCCAAATCAGTTGACATGTCATTTAATAAAGAACGTAAATAATATGACAGCTGACCTAGAAGGCTAATTATTACCTAATCAGTCTTCCAAGTAAAATACCATGTTATTTAAATTCTTTATTTGGTCCCTAATTTTAATTAGCGTAACATTATTATTTTTCATTAATTGGAGAAACAACCGACCTTCTAGCTAGATTATAATTACTATTACTCTATTATATGTTTGGTAATTAAAGTATACATCAGCCGCCTACCTTAAAAAAATAGGGTTGTCAAAAATTTCGCCCACTCGACCTGCATCCTTTCTTGACTAGCCAATGAAAAAAATTTTAGTACGTCGGAAAATTGCGGGTCCCATAAAAATTTCGCATTTCTATTCGATTTCCACATATATTTAATTTTTTGAATATTTTTGTTAAACCTTATAATGATGCATATATTTTTTAAGAGTAATATAATTGGTCAAAAAATTTCATAAAATTGATATTCATACATATGGAATATCTATACTACAAATAAAACTTATAATTATACATATATATTTTTAAGAATAATATAATCAATCAAAAAGTTTCACAAAAATTAACATTTATACATAAAGAATATATAACTAAAAGTGATCTTAGATGTAATTTATAGATTTAAATGCATAGAGATATGATGGTAATTTAGATATTAAGAGTGAAATGATAGAGTGACCTTTTTAATTTTTAATAGGATAAAATAGTAAATTAAAGTTTTTATGTTAAAGTACTTTTATTAATAGTATAGATAGATAACTTGTTTTTCTTTTTTCAATCCAAACGGCTTAATTTCTAGGAAGCTGCATCTCAATAAGAAATCAAAAATAGTCAAAGGAAATTACCACGAAGATACCGTGTACCTTCATGTATCCAATCTATTAATAATACCCTTCAATTGTTTTACAAACTTACTAATTCGATAGCCTTCCGATTTTCATTTGTTGTGAACACGAAGAACAAACAATCCGTCTTATAAGATTATAAGGTTACAATTGTCTTTTTACATTGAATAGTTGCAATATTTGATGTTTTTAAGTAGGTATTATACGGATAATGTTTGTGACAAACAAACAAGGGGAATATAAGATTATAGTTTAAGACCGGGTATAATATACCATTGGTTCAGAGTGGAATGAATATAAAATCTTATACCACCTAAATCTTATACCACATAATATATTCAAAATTATTTGTATTTTGTTAGTTGTATGAATGCTTACTTTAGCCCGGAATAAACAAAATTCTGGCTCCGCCCTTGATTGGAGAAATTAGTTAGAAATTTCCAACAATGCTTTGCTTACTTTGTTTCTCTAGACCAACAAAGGTCAATGCAATGGTATTTCTTAACAATTAAGATTAGAATTAGTGACAAAAAGAGATAAGTTTGAGGATTCAAAGATGTATGAAACGTAAATGAACTTTCATGCTACAAGCGTCAAACAACAATTTCATTTCCAAGGTGGACCCTAGTTGTCATTTTTTCATTCAGTAATGCTATGCTGATCAAAATTAGAGACTAAATAAAGAGTCTAAATGATATAACAACCTAATCAGCCTTCCAAATCAGTTGATATGTCATTTAATAAAGAGCTTAAATGATATGACAGCTGACTTAGAAGGCTGATTATTGTCTAATCAGTCTTCCAAATAAAATACCATGTCCCTAATTTTGATTAGCATAATAATACCCTTCATGTATCCCCTCTATAAATAATACCCTTCAACTGTTTTACAAACTTACTAATTCGATAGCCTTCCGATTTTCATTTTGTTGTGAACACGAAGAACAAACAATCCGTCTTATAGTAAGTTTCTTTACAGTTTTGTAATTATGGGCATTAGTTTTATTTCATTGTTCTTGTGTGTCATCAAATCTGACAAATTTGTAATCTTATTCTTAAGCCTACTGATTAAAGCATATAGATCCGCCATCTTCATTGTTAATTGTTGCTGCTAAAATCGCGGTAGTGATCATTAACAACATAGTTCAAAACATGACAATCCGATCCCGCCATTACGGGATCTACTCAACTATATTGATTACTTCATCAATTATTGTTTCTGTTATTATCATCAACATCGTGCCTTTTGGATGCGTAACGAAATTATACCCCAATTATACCTTTTTCGGCCTTTTGACTAACATCTTTCTGTCTTTGATGTTTTTTTGGGCTAGTTTCAATGGAACGAGTAGCTCCCTCATCATTTGTTCTCAAGGTAAATATCAGCTGCCATGGATGTGAGAGAGACATCGACAAAGTGATGCAAAAAATTCCAGGACTATGGCCTAAATCAACGATAATAGATGCAAAGCAAGGAAGAGTTACTGTTTCTGGCTTTGTAGACCCTCAAACCGTAATAAGGGAGCTTAGGAAGGCTGGGAAAATAGCAGAGCTCTTGGTAGAGCACAACCCTCGGGCTCCTGCCGCGGCTAATGACCGGAATTTGCAGATTATTTCACGGTCAGAAGTGGATGTGGGAAATACACGGGGTCAAGCTGTTGTCGTTGACCCAGTTCGCTTGGCGGCAAATATGGCCCAGTTCGTGAATGGTATTGAACGCTTGAAGTCAGTGGAGCTGACCCGTGACCGTATAAAGATGTCTTTCTTCGATTATCCAAGTGGGAAATATGGTGATACATCTCGTGGCAGTGGTGGTACATCTCGTAGCAGTGGTGGTAATACAACTAGTATCCGTAATAGTATCAGTAGTGGTGGTGGTGGTAGTGGTACAACTAGTATCCGCAGTGGTGGTGGTGGTGGTACAACTAGTATCCGTACTAGCATCAGTAGTGGTGGTGGTGGTGCAGCTCGTATCCATAGTAGTGGTAGTGGTGGTACAACTAGTATCCGTAGTGGTGGTAGTGGCACAAATATCCATAGTGGTGGTGGTGGTGCAGCTCGTATCCATAGTAGTGGTGGTGGTGGTACAACTAGTATGCGTAGTGGTGGTGGTCATCGTATTAAGTCTACGGGAGCACGACAACCTTAAGTACTGTTGAAAGTGGCACATCTCATAGAAATGGTGATGGTGATGGTGATGGTGATGGTGATGGTGATCGTCGTATTGTTCGAGTCTATGGGAGCACAACAAACTTAAATAGTGTCGAAAGTTCGTGTGAGCTGTTATCATATGTTTTGCTTGGTTTGTCCTCCAGAATCTTGGTTCTATTATTGATGTACTTGTTATTTGGTTATTAATTAATGTCTGATTATTCCTCCCTCCCTCCTTATCCTTTCTCCACATCTTCCGTAGCCATAGCTCTATCCTGGTAAACACAACTGGCCAAAAGCTGATATGTGTTTGGTGTAATTAAAAACAACAAAAAAAATATATAATTACGTCATTTTACATAAAAAAAAAAAATGAGACTAATTATAGCCCTTCACAATTAATCACTTTCTAAAAAAGTCCCATGGGGTTACAATTACCGAAGAGTCACACTTACCATCTTGGCAATGCTGCTACTTCAATTGTTCTTTCTCTTTGTTTCCATATTCTGTCTCAAAGTGTCGTTAATTTGTATGGTTATCTAAAAAGTATATGTGAATAAGATGAATAAATAAAAGGAAAATTTCATGAATTAGGGGTGTGGGCATCACTAAGTATTGTTGGGTTATGGATTCATGGGTGGGCACCACCAATGAGTTAACTCATAAAACATCTATCATACATATAGATAATAAATATAAAAAAAATTTCAGGGTGGGCTAGTGCCCTTTCTAGCCAATGACTGGCTCCGCCCATGGTGAGTAGAATAAGTGGATGGGATGGAAGAACCCAAGTTACCTATTAAAGGAGGGACCAACCACATGGTGAAATGTTCCTTGGGAAGGTGGAGAGAGTAAATGCTCCCACCCGCCAAGATATCTATCTCAAACCAGATAGAAGTGTGTTTTGTATGAGCAAATAATGTATGTACTTATAGCACAATACTCGAGCATGTCAAGCTGCTTAGGCCTCACTAAAAAGCCCAAAGTCTAATGGGCCTCCAACAGCCCGGAAGCCCAACAACTAAAGGGCAGCCTGACTTGTACACGTGGCAGGGCTTGGGTAGCCTGCTAGCCCAACGGGTAGGGTCTGAGCCGTGTTTTTTAGAGCTAGGGCCGGCCTGTTAAAAAGCTCGTTAAGCCGCCCATTAGCCCAATAAGATAATTAGATTATATTTCATAATTGTATTGTTTATTTGATATTTGATCTCTAACTTTTATAGGTTGAGACTTGCAAATGATTGACAATTGTATAGGTGTCAATCTAATTAGGATGTACTAAATTTGTAGTGATGCAAAATAGTCTCATCCACCAATCAATTTGTAATGTAACATAATAGCTCTATATGAATATTTGTTCAATTAAATTATTACAAACAATTTGATTTAATTTAACAAATTATTCATATTATTCCGTGGTTGATCTAGTCTAGACTATTGGACTATCTTACCTTAAAAGGTACATGTGAGATTAAGAGATAAAACATGTCCCAAATTAAAACAATATATATAAAATATAGGATATTATCACAATAGTAGGTATACGAGGGATTAAGAGATAAAACACGCCCCAAATTAAAATAATTTATTTTTGTTGACATATGGACAACTTAATGGTGTTGTGAATCCAATGTTCTATTTAATTCTAAAGTTGAATATGTGTCACCTTTCGAGAGTTCTCAATTTTTAACTAGCATTTAATTGTAATAAACTTCATTGGCTTTGACATAAGCCATAAAAACTCATTATTCAAGCCAATCAAATTGTAAAGAATTGATAAATCTTGTGACATATGTGATGCACATTCAAATGAATATTTTCAAACAAGGAATCCCTATTTGTTTGATTCATGTTTTCTACATAACTCATACCACTAAGTATAAGACAAATATATCCACCATGGAGATACACATATTCAAGGTGTATCCAACAGTGATATAGCTTTATTAATTATTCGATACGTGCAGAAAGTATCCTATATGTATCCACAACCACGAGTATCCGACAAATTTAGGTATTCACGTCACCCCAGTCAAAGTATCAATCCTTCATAGGTCATCAGGTATAATACAAAACTAAAACCGAATTAATTAGTGTCTTATTTTCTATGCAGGATTGAATCTATCTGGAAAGAGGACTTGCAAACGCCAGCAAGCTTAAAACCAACCAATCGTGTCCGCAACTGACCAGGTCCCCTGTTTTGGGAATCAAACGCTAAAATTCCCAAGAGAAATTTCATCAAACAGGTTACAGAAATGTGGAGTATAGTAAAGCTGAATGGCTCACAAGCTTATCATGACTTCTAATGTAGTGACTAACCATTATTCACATACTTAGTTCATACCGTCACATACATTTTTTCAAAGAGTAACGGGCATTTGAAACCACAGGAAACATAATTCTACACAGAAAGACACCAAGCAATACTGGGTAATGATCTAATTCAAATATCATACAGAAAATGTCAAAGACATTTTATCAAACAGCTTACGGGCACAACAAAAAAATACAGCATTATCAACAGCCCAAAAGACAGTTACCACTTACCAAGTTAGGCTTGAAGATGTTGTGGACGACGGAGGCACCGGCGAGAATCGAAACAATGACGACGGCACATGACCACGCCAATGATGGAGTACCTGTGGGTTGCTGCCCTCTTCGAAGTTTCTGATTCATCTTCGGTCTCACCTGTGTTTTGAATTTAGAAATTGTTTCGTATTTCTTATTATTTGATTTCAACCCGAGTCTAACCCAACCAACCCGAGCAACTCCAATTCGAAACTAACCCGTAACTAAATTTTAGAACTAGAATGAGCTCGAATTTTAGAACTGAAAAAAAAAATGCAATCTATGTAATTGATATAAAAACACATGCCTTTTGGAATTTAACAAAACAAGCAATAGAAAAATCAAAATTTTTTACGATTTATTATTAATTTTAAAAATATTTCTTAAATGGCAAAAACACTATTTTAAAGGCTTAAACAATGATACTTTTTCAAAAACAGAATTAATCGTTGGCCTATTTTGTGTCAGACTACACTAGTTCGGGTTAATACCAAGTTCGATCCATTTTTTGCATCTATTATTCCTTTGTAGCTTTTGGCTAAGTTTTAAATGAACGACGGTCTTCAGCTCATAGGAATCTACTACAACTTATTCTATATCAACATAATTATGGGTGTGCATGCTAGATTTTGCACAATATAAAAACGAGAACAGATCTCTCATTTAGTGAACTCGAGTGAATCAGTGGAGTGGTTAACCACGCTGCTTGGAACAGCCTGTGAGATCCTGTGATAATCTGGAACGGTAATGGGAGACCCTCGTGGATCAAAAGAACGATCCAGTAAGACTGAAGAAAGGTTCCTGGAACAAAGAAGAACAAGTTAGAAGGGCGCCGGAGTGTTTTTCGGCGTATCCCCTCCGACGATCAAGTCAGTCTTTGAGAGAGAGAGGAAGAAGAAAACACTGAGTATGTATTACAGCAAATGTTTTTTGTTGTATATCGTCTTGTCTTTTGCGAGGAGTATTTATACCTCAAAATCTCATGATTGCTGTCAGTGTAGTCAGTAGGTGATCATTAGGTACAGACAGTGTGCGCACTGATTCTGATGAGGAATGTCTTCTCTTTTAACTTCTCGGGATCCCGAGCAATCAATACTGTGTCATCGGGCTGCCGACTGTTCAATGAGCTCCTCTCGGGGAGGACGCAATAAATGCCCAACCTAAAGACATTTATTGTCTTTCAATTCCGAGCTTTACCGCATTGAATGCAGTCTCATCAAGGGAATGACGTAATTAAATGTTTGCTTTCCCAAATCGTGTGTTAGCAAGGACATGCGATTTTTCTGTCTCGGATGTGACACAATATGCCACGCGTCCATTCCCCATTGGCTGTGGCGCTTGCCTTCCTATGCCTTCTGATACCAATTGTGTAAGACGAGGTCATGATAGTTAACTTAGTCTAGTCTAGGCTAGTGACCTGTACATCAATAGCCTTTGCTGGAGCAGAGAACGGCATCCTGGATGAGGGGGTACATCTCGGTACCGAGGAAGAGGTACATCTCGGAGCCGAGGGAAGAGCCTAGCAACCGATGTACCGTATCAGATCGAGGGTACATGTCGGTATATAAAAACGTACTGGATGCCACTCAATCCCCATGATCAGCACCTCGGGGGGAGAAGAGACTTGTGACCCGATGGGTACGTGATCTCGATAACAAGGATCAGTGACACCGAGACACGTGTCTTCATCTTAGAGTATTCCAGAAATCTCCCATCAATGGGTGATCACACATACATCATATTTTCTTTGTCGAAACATATGATTGGTGTATTATCTCAACATAGCCAACTAGATTAAGGGAAAATTTCAACTACATATCTTTCGATTAGGTCTGAATTCAATGAAACTTTCTCCCTATTCGGAAACTTCTCTGTATCCTCTTCTGGTTTATTCTTTCAAATAAAAAACACACCCTTAACGGTAATTTTCACTCTGTCAGTACAAAAATTAACGGTTTGACTATAAAATTTCTAAAAATGTCAAAATTATCCTTTTTTATGTAAATATACTAAAATGTCATCAACCATTTTCCAACTATATATATCATACCCTTTGTTTTGAAGGTCAAAAATGATCTGGTGTTACTGGAGGACATAGAAAACTAAAGCTAGTCATTTTTCTTCAACTTGTTCTCCATAGTGACCAATCACTACCTAAGTTGGTAAAAAAAAAAAAATATTTTTTTATTGCAGATTTATAAATGTTTTCCATGTAGTTTTTTAATTTTTTTTCATGCAGATATTATTAACAATTTTTTTAAAATTTTTTTAATGCAAATTTTTTAAAATTTCTTTCATGTAGATTTTTCTTTCATGCAGATATTTTTAATTTTTTTCATGTAGATTTTTAAATTTTTTTCATGCAAATTTTTTTTTTTAATTTGTTCGTGCACATTTTTATAATTTTTTTCTTTTATTTTAGTATATGTCAATATGTTGTGATGTACTATTATAAGATTGATGTTTTCTTCAACCGTTGGTTGATGCAAAGACATAGGGGAATACATGGAAATTTAAGATGACAATAATTTAATAAAATTAAATATTAAATTGATGAATCTAGAGGTTAATATAATCTATATTACTTTAAAATGTGAACATACTTGAAAAACATTTATTTTTCTTTTTTACCCCCAAACAATAGTATTAAAACATTTTTATCACATATTGAATGGTGATAAGAACACGTGAATTTCAATAATATAAAAATACTAGTAATTGTTTGTGCCTGAAGGCACGAAATAACAAAAAAAAATATTTTAAATTAAAAGACATACAAAATAAAAGAGCGCTAAACACATTAAAAAATAACAAAAACCAACAAACCCATGCTTAAAAGCACTTAGAAACAAAAAAATTGAAAATTGTTAAAATTGAGCACTTCTTGCATTTAAAGTTTATATAATTGTGATTTATTTTTTAAAATATCGCAAAACACCTTTATTAACACATAAAAATGTCCAAAGTTTGTCATTTGGTTCTTGATTAGTTGTAATTTCAAGCTTGGTGGTGGTAGTGGTGAAGGTGGCCAATAAAGTTTTGGCAAACTTTATCAAGAAAACCCAAAAATAACAAAAGAAATATTTAGTAGCAAATCTATGATAGGCTTCACCATTCTAACAACTATGTGCCAAAAATGTGTACCCATGTATAACTTGTTACATAATTTTGTCGATCAAAACTCAAATTCCAATAACTTTAAAAATTTGAATCAACACTTTTAACATTTTGGAGAATCCATTAGAAAAAGTTTAACCATGTCTAATGAATTCAACGTAGTAATTGTAAGTATATGCACTATTGAACATTATCAAATAGTCCACTTGAAAGAGTTAGAAATTTATTGTGCAAGAACTCCTATGCATCGATCATACCCATCATCATCATACTCCATAGAGTTCGCTTTTAGGTTCCAGCATTTCTTTTAGAGTTCTCTTCAAATTCATATATCCATCCAGCTGTGTCAAATCCATTGCCCTCCCATGGAAGGTATATTCACTATCACACAAAAAATAGGCAAAAATAATAGGATCAAAATTTGAAGTAATTTATGAAAAATCACAAAGTGTACTTGTATAAGTTTTTTTATTTTCCAGTGGGTTAATCATATTTTTTACATCAAGTGCTCACCCAAAACAGTCTGCAAATTGTGGAAATGTAATTGTTGTGATCCGAAAGACCCCTACTACTTAAAATAAATCAAAAATAGTATGAAATCAACAGCAAATAAAAAAAAAATTGAACACTTGATAGCTTAATACATACACATTAAATCTTCATCTAAAAATAGTTAATGAAGCATATTTCCTCACGAGTAAGAAAAAGCACATTTCCTCTGTCCAAAAAAAAAAATCTTCAATATCTTTTCACCTACCTTTGCCTCCTATTTCATTGGTTTTGTTGGATCATTCTATGAGCTAGATCCGTAAATCTTTGAAAAATCAGATCATACAAAACTCATATTATATAAAAGCAAACCAAAAATTTTGCTAGAAATTCAAAGACTACACAACAAAATTCAAAAACTTAAAAGACACAACAAAACTATAATTCACCAGTTGCATCCTTGCAAAATTCTGACCATGTTTCTGCCCTTCCATCCTTCTCCTCCTCTTCCTCCTCCATCCTCTTCTTCATCTTGTTTCTCTCACACCTTCATTGTCACACACATTTTCCTTCTTCATTTTCTTTGTATTCATGCACACATACACAAACTTACACACTAACATACAACACACAAACTAAAACACAAAAATGCCCACTGTCATTTGTCCCCCAAATCAATTCCAATTAATAAGCCATAACCCACAATCTCAAGAAAATCAAAATCCTCATTTCGTAATGGATGGGTTAATGGTGACTCACTAACATGTTCCTTAATTTCTTTTAATGCCATTGCATCTCACATAAAACTCAACCCTCAAAACACAAATATGAATTCCAATTTATCAATATCAATTAAAGAGTGATAGTGATTGTTTGCAGATCTTTGAGAAACTTCATCAAACATGTGGTGGTTATGGTATAAATTTAGTTCAATACAATACAAAATGCAGTCTGGTACTATAAGAATTCAGTTTGACAAAATAGATCAAACACAAAAATTTCATCACAAAAAAAAACTCAAAAATCCATAACTGTTCTTCATCTGTCCAACTGGTTTTTGGGGTGTATGGGTATGGGTATGCACACACAGAACAAAAACACACACACATATAGAGAACACACCCTCAACGGACACAGAAATAGAAACACACACACACACACGCACACTCAATGCACACAAAAGTAGAAACACACACACACACACACAAAGAATATCGTGTTGAGGTAGAGGGAGAGTGAAATCTGGTGTTTTAATATATCAGAGAAATTGAATCAACAACCATAGAATTCATTCAAGGCCAAAACCAGAAATCAAAAATTATTTCAAACCCAAAACCAACATACCCACCATTCAACATTAAAAATCTGGTGTTTCAATATATCCAAAAAAATTGAATCAACAACCATAGAATTCACTCAAGGCCAAAACCAGAATTTAGCAATTATCTCAAACCCAAAACCAACATACCCACTATTCAACATTAAAAATTTGGTGTTTTGGG